GGCAAATCCTTGTAATACAGTAAACTGCTATGTGTAGCCTTTGTTCTTTGATTTTTGGAACAGTAAAATGGGGAAAAATTGGATGGTCGATAATGTTCATTGATTTTCTGATCATGTCACAATCTTTTCAAGCATCAACTGGTAAAATTACCCGCACCATTTTGCTAGGAGGACTCCAAGTTGGACTCCAAGTTGATTTCTAATACAAGAAAAAAAAATGGCAGTGTTTTGAATGCGTCTTCTTTATTTGAAAAATAAAATAAAATGTTTATAAAAAATAAATAGTACCTCAAAGTCAGCACAATCTCCACTAAATTCTTCTTATAAAGACAAATTCGTTGAAACCAAGATTTACTCTTATGGACAAATTTTATTTTACAAGATCAAGTTTTAATTTATCATCAAAATATATCTTAACACTTCATATATGATAAGATTATGTAAATTAAAATAAATCTCAACACATAGACCATACTAATATAAATTGGAATTATGAAATTATGAATAAATAAAGTTGGAAGACCGTAATAAATAAATAAAAATGGCACTTTAAAAATGAATAATGTAATCCATAGAATTTTAAGTCTGAATGAACACACTAGGCATCGGTCCTGGTTTAAATTTGATGGTTGCCTTGCACAAAAAGTCACTCTCTGCAAATGTTTCGGTCACACAAACAATTTATAGACTTTGGACGCTAGAAGATCCAAGTTTACACTTGGATTTGAGTGGGGTTTATCATATTTGGGCAACTTGCTAAGTCCATATTAGGGCCTCGACACATTTTCTATTTTTATTTTTATTTTCCTGTTTTTATTTTATTTTATCTCGACTGTCTTTCTCATTTTATTTTCTTTCTCTTATTTTTCTTGGATGACAATTCTAATTGCTAAGTCCATATGATTTTTGTTCTTATAAACATATTATGGCAATTATAACTAGTATATTTAAGATTTTAAAGGAACAAATCTCTTAAATTATTTTGCAATAATTAAAATAAAAAATCATAAAAACTCTAATGATTTAAACTCCAAGAAAAAAATGTATTTCTCTTGTCAAAATTTCAAGAAAAAAATGTATTTCTCTTGTCAAAAATTTTTTTTGTTATTTATTTATTTATTTATTTTTACATAACAATGATTTTCTTATCACCAATACAATTATTTAAACAAAAACTCGAAACAATTAAAATAAATATTTATCAAAACTCACATGATTTTAATTAAGTAAAAAAAAGTACATTTTTTTAGTCAAAACTTCATTTTTCTCATTCTTTAATTTCTTTTTAACTTTGGAGTGGATATATTTTTGTTTTATCAAAAGCACTGTTATATAAATAAAAACCTATCATGGAATGCAAAGCAATTATAAAGCAAAGAACAAAAGATAACGTTTTTATTATTTTCATGCAACCTTATAAAAAACCAAAAGAACAACGAATTGGAGAAAATAATATAAAAAATGATAATAATAAAATATATATTTTATTCTCATTAAATACTTATACCAAGTCATTAAAATTATGCACATTATTTTCCTATCTAATTATAAAAAATATTGCAATAAAAAATCCATATGTCATTTAAAAAACATGGAATAATTGAATATAACAGGGAAAATGCAGTAAATCAAAACCATCGAGCTGGTATGCCCCAAGGTTTAAGGGTAAGAAGTAAAATAATAATAATAATAATAAAATAACAATCTTGTTGTCGGACCATCGAGATTATTTCTCAAACATCCGGCCAGAGGCTGGAAAGGAAAAAAATAATTTATGACTTTCCCTTGAATGATTCAAGGTTTTGGGGATAAAATTAATAATATTTAAATTTTAACCCTTCCCGGAGAATTTTTTTCAATCTTGACCCTTTTTTGTGCTCCGCCCCTATCTCCGGCAATGATAAGGAAATCACTATTTTTTTTCGTCATTTTTCTCTCCGTTTTGTTAGAACCGTTTACTTAAGTAGTGGTCCTGTAGTGGATGGGATTGGTGGACGTTGTAGTTTGCTGCGAGACAGGCTTAATGGGCCTTTCCTTGTAAAATAAAGAAAAAAGAAAAAAGAAAAAAGAAAAAAGAAAAAAGAAAAAAGAAAAAAGAAAAAAGAAAAAAGAAAAAAGAAAAAAGAAAAAAGAAAAA